GATTAAACTAAAAAAAACTCGCGCGTGCAAAATGCTTCAAACCTATTGAAATTTCATCCAACCCCTCTCCTCCCGCTTCCCTTTGCTCTGCGAGCTTCCCTCTCTCTCTCGCTCGCCTGCCTTTGCTTGGGAAGCCTCTTATCCTCTACAAAGCCCTCTGCCTTGATCTTGCTCCTGTCTATGTTGCCGTCTTCTCTCACTGTCAAACCTCTTGCCGCCAGACCCACACACGCGGTTCTTTCACAAACCAGGTGAGTTCTTCCTTGCCTTCTTTCTCTCTAGCCACACACGAAGTTCTTTTCTGTTGCTCAGCCAATAATCTCTCAATAAACTCTAACCCTAAACAAAAATTAAAACCCCATTTTTTGCCAAAATCAAACCAACATTTTTTTTCAACTCCCAAATCGAAATATTCAATAAAACCCTACTTTTTTTTCTTAATAAAACACCAAAAACAGGAGAGGAAATCACAAACAGAGAAATCTTTGATGGCCAAAAAAATCCCAAATTGCTACATACAAAATCCTCATTCTGAGTTCAACGATACTGCCCAAACCATGGAAAGTACCTTGAGCTCTTCAAACTCTCTGAATTTTTCAACTTCCCTTATCAATTTTGATCCTTCTTTTATTGCTATATGAAGGTTTTATTTTTGAAATATTAGCTATTATATGTGTGGAAATGAGGAATGTGATTTATGTGCAGTATTTTTTTTATTTTGAACATCTGCATTTTCTTCTTATTTTTAGTTGTTTAAACTCCATATTTCCTCTGTATATTTCTCTACTATGAACGTTTTACAAGAAATATTAGGTTAAACTACTTTTTGAAAAAAATTTAAAGCGGGATCGGGCTGATTCAGCAATATTGTTTGAAATTTTAGGGAAGGCTAGTGGGTTTTGAGGGATTTTTTCATCAATATGTCAAATGCTAAGATTCTTCATAGGTTGGATTGAATCAAATTATTTGTGAATTTTTACAATCTGTGTCTGGCTGTCTGCACATCACTTCGAATTCTTGATTCTGAAGAACGCATTTTGCGTCCATTAAAGGAATACTCTGACATTTTCACGTCTTGCTTCCTCATGGCTTTTTGTTTCACATTTTGTTCCTTGATTTACCTTGTGCTATTTGTTTTGTTTACACCTTCCCTTATCTATTTTGAGGTGTAGTAGTAGCGCAAGGGGAAACTGTTAGCACCATTGAGAACCAACCTGTCGAGGATCCCCCAATTTCCCTATTTACTTGGACGATCAAGAATTTCACAAGGCTTCACATCAAAAAGGAATATTCTGATATTTTCACCGCATAGAGTTACAACTGATACTAAGAGATCTTAATTCCACCATATTTTTTCTGTTGAAAATATCTAATTCTGTGCATATACATGCATATTCCCTAGTTTTGGTTTTCACAAGTTTCATCAGATATTCTAAATTGTGATCATTGAGTTTCAATAGTATGGGAAACTGGGATTATTATTTTGCTGCATTCTGACTCATGGCTCAATGTTGTGATGCTATTGTTATTAACTTAATCTATGGGATTTTGGTTTTGGTCGGTGGGTGCTGATATTTCCTGAAGGGAATAATGTGGACAACCTATTGATGTACTTGGATGTGGCAGATTCAGCCACTCTACCTTATGGGTGGAGTTGTTATGCACAGTTTTGCTTCGCGGTCATCAACCAGCTTAATAATAAGTACATGAAAAGAAAATATAATAATGTTCCTTAATGACTCTTTCTCCCTATTACCGAAGCATTGAAATTATAGTTGAATTTAAAATTTCCCTACTACTTAAGTTGTTTGTCACCAGCATCTTCATGCTTCACTTGGGCTATCAGATCATCCATAGAGGTAATTCTCATAGGGAATATGAGACCTATTTGTACTATGCTGCACTGGTTGGATTCTATTGCAAAAAGGGTAGTTTAACTCATGCATGTTCAAATATAGCTTATCCAAGATGCTCTAGCCTACTTTTGTTTCTGAAATTTGTTTAATGGTATTTGGCAATGTCACTATTTATATTGTTTGTCACCGGCATCTTCATGCTTGACTTGGGAATTTTATATTTTGAGTTATCACGCCCTCATAAGCTGCCCCTTTACTGATTTAGAATGTTTGTGGTTGTTGGCAAGGTTAGGTAATATTTTTTGCAATGTATCTTATCACTTCTACATTTTTGCCACGATTGGATAAAAAAAAATGGATTAGGAAGTGTTGGTGATTTTAGGTGATTGCCAGTGCATATGCCAATATATTAGGTGTGAATCCATTCAGATTCTCTTAGTATGGGTTGGAGGTTTCAGGAATGTATTATGACAATCATTTGACATATATTGAACAAATAAGTACATTGTGTGCATTTTTTCTTAGTACAATATGGAAGCATTTTTTTTCCATTGAATGGACTTGTCTCTTTAAGAGATTATTTATTAATTATCACATGTGGCAGAAGTAAAACTAGATCTGCATCTTGTAATGCTTAAAAGAAGTGCTAATGTTTCTTATTAATGTTGTTTAATCAAACTCTGTGGCTAATGCTTTGGCAAAGGGTGGTTCTTCTTTACCCTCTCTTGTCATTTCTAATGATGGATTGAATTGTTGAAAGGCATGACTATCAACAATTCTAGCGAAATCTGGTCTAAATATTTCCTTGAGAAATGGCTCGGCTTCTTTCCCGAAGGCCATACGATGGAAAATTCAAATATTCTGATCAACATAGAGTTCAAAGAGGAAGCATATGTCAAAGTACGGCCCGATTCGATTGAACGCACGAGGGTGGGGGAAGAACTGGTATGGTTAAAAGAATGCACCATACACACATCTTTTGATGAGCGACAAACCATAGATGACTTGGGTCGCATCATCTCCAACAGATTCAGGGACATACATGAGTCCTCGTGCTTCCTCGGAGACATAATCCCGCTGCTTCGGACTCTTATTTAGGAGGAATTAGAGGGCATTACGTGAGATCTTCTTCCCCGTTTAAATGTAAGTAAGGTGTACCTGGTGGTGAGGGTTCAACAAGAGTTTTCAAACAAGTACATCGATGAGAGTAGTGTTCAAGATGTTCAAGAATATCGATGCTGCTCGATTGCATTATCCAAACAATCAAGCACCTAAACAAGATCGAGATAGAGGATGGAGAGCAAGAAGATTGCAGTGTGTCTTTGTGGATTTGTTCCCAGCATAGAGACATGGGTGATGCCATGTAATCACAAATTCCATAGCAACTGTATCTTGAAGCGGCTGGTAGACTACAACAGATCGTGCCCACTGTGCCGATGCCAACTATGAGATTCTCCTAACGCTATTATTAGGTGTAAAAGAGTGGAGCTTTCTCCTTATTTTTTTATTTTTTTCATGAAATGGGTAAACGGTGGTGCAGATCAAGAATCATTAATGCTTACTAGGTTTTCATTCATCTTATCTGTAGCCATACTTTATCAATTTCACTTTGTTATGAATGAAAACTTCAACATTCCTTGTGCTAAAAAAAAATGATGTTTAATCAAGGGACACATCTTTGAGTCTTAGTGACCTTTGGTGGTATGTCTTCACTCTATGAGGAATGTAGCCTTTCAAAATGTATCATTCTTGCGCATGCAATATTTTTGGTTTTGACTCTACTTTTTATTTTTTTGAACTATGTTGATGGTGAATGGACTTCGATTTAAAGTCTTCAGTGGCTCTAAAAGAGAAAGATGTATTGTTAGTCTAATACATAAAGCAGAAGATAAGTGAAAACTAAAACTAAATAAAAACAATTATGCTTATTATTTCCAAAATATAAAGTAGGCAAGCACTTACATCCCACTCGCCCGCACCGAATAATTATGCATGTCATGCCCACTCTTATTGCAAACTTTACACTTCCTTCAGTAGGTGGCTTTTCCTCCGACTGTGTTTTTACATAGAAGCCTTTTACCCTTCTCCCATGAAGGTTTCCTCCTTTTAATCCTTGGTCGTCTAACTGCTCGTGCACATGGTGGATCAAGTACAAGGGGGGAGGCATCAACTGATCTATTGCAGCCATATACTTCATCGTCAGCGACATTGCAATGAGTGGAGGGTGATGGTGTAAGAATATTTGACAAATGCTCTCTTGTTGCATGGACATCTTCAGCTAATTTACATAAACCCAATTTCACTTTTTCAAATAGAACATCACCTTCTAATGCTTCTACAATTGTTCTCAGAATGTCATAAAGCTCATAATGTCGAATAAACCTCAGAAATTTAGATGAAGTCGAACTAAGACCACCACATTTGTCTTTGACCCCCTTCTTTGCCTCCATTGTCCACCGGCTCAAAATGTAGTTAGATGGAATCTTCAATACATTTCTCATGTTGAGCACTTTAAGCATATGCGAACAAGGGATTCCAACACGCTCAAAGAACTGACATGTGCATATACACTTCATCCTTGATTCAATGAATGTAACTGTCTGAGGGATAGGCACACCACAAATGTCTTCCACCTTGTATTTGACAAATTCATCATCGCCTTCTATTAATTTAGTAAGGCAATTTGAGGACCTTACCACCTCTTCTTGTAACTTTCCAAAAACTTTCTGAGTATATATCTTTGCTACATGCTCCTCGATAAGAAGGGCAACCTTTAAAACAGGTGTGGATGTAAGATTTTTACTGTCTTTCTCTTTTTCTTTGATGAACTTCTTGTTTTGCAACTTTTCAATAGCATTCATGAATTTTGTCAAACATGTTCCAGAAGTGACATAAATCTTTAAATAATGATTGAACCCTTCACTTCGTTTTGTGGTTTTCATGCCGGCTGTGAGCCTATCAGCTATGTATGCATCAACCCATTGAGTGCGACAACCATATAACCACTTGAGCCAACTTTCCTCTTGAATATCATACTTTTGAATCATAACTAACTAATCAGCCTCATACTGCTCAACTGTGTGGGCTGCAATACACTTCTTGAATACTTCTAAGAATAATGCTCAACACAGCTTAGATGTGTTTTAAACTTTCCCACGATATGCCACTTGCAATAGTGATGATTAGTATTAGGGAAAATCGTCTTAACTGCAGTCGTTATAGCTAAAGCCTAATTGCTGATAATTGTACCTGGTCGGCAGCCTCCCATTGCCTCTTGCCAATTCTCAAATAACCAAATGAAAGTTTTTGTAGTCTCATTGAAGATGAGAGCACATTCGATGAAAATTGTGTTAGCGTGATGACTAACTCCAAGGATTGGGCCAAAGGGCATACTGAATTCATTCGTTTGGAAGGTGGTGTCAAAGGTTACCACGTCACTAAAAAATTGGTATGATAATATAGACTTTGAATCCCATATAAAATTAATTAGCTTCCCCACCTCATCAAGTCGAAATCTATAAAAGAATGAAGGGTCCAATTCCTTCTTCGCATGCAACCAACCCATAACAACGGTACCCTCTTTCCCTTTTAGTTATTTTCTTTTTCTAGTTATATGATTCTCGAGGTCTTTCTCAATGAAAGGGATATTTTCTAACCCACCAGGCTCTTCGATAAGGTAATCTATCATAACCCTAGACTTAGCCATAGAAGACTCCAATGTGTTAATCACTTTTTTCACTGTGTTTGATATCTTTCGATGAGAGTGAATAAATCTAGTCTTGCTGGGAATATGATTATGTTCTTTTACAAACTTCGCAATAACCCATCTCTGGTTCTCATTCTTCTTAATGCGGATCTTTGCCTAACATACACATTTTGTGTAGGGCTGAGCATTTTCTCTCCCACCATACATCTAACTACAAAAACCTTGCCTACAGCATTCTATAATCTGACCAATTTTTTCATCATGCTTCCAAATGGTTCTTCCTTTTCTTATACCAAACCCTATCAATTTTTCGTACTTATTTTAATAATCATAAGCTTCATCTTCGTCAATGAATGTCATTCCTACTATGGGTTCGATATTTACCGTTCTTATTAGAGCTGCCTCTGCATCTATAAGTATAGGATCTCCTTCTCCATCTATTACAACTACATCCTCGTTAAATGGAGAATCATAGCAAGTTTTATCCAATATAGCCTGAGCACCACACTCGTGCCCATTTTTTGAACTAGTGATGTCGACAAGAGAGGAATGACATGTTGATTTTGAGGCGTCCATGAGTCATGCAT